AGGCCAACTGACTTTTAGGCTGTAGAGCCTCGCATAAAAAAACCGCTGGTGCTTTTACCTGTGCTCTTGCGTTGGGTTCTGAGAGCACACTAGTCTGGGGGCAAGAGCTTGCTAGGTAAAATGACATGCAACCGTGGATCCGATGGCACTCGCTCTCCTGTTACTTTAACGATGTTGTTCCGCTGTTGACCGTCACAACTGCCAGCGATGCGCGCCTGTGGTGAACCACCCGATCCGCATCGAGTCCCACCCAGAACGGGTGAAATGAGCCACCCAACCGCTGTTCGAACAAGGATGGCCTTGTTGGGTATGCCGAGCGAAATGAGGTTGTCGCGGATCGCGGCTTGCTCCTCGTACCGTGCCCGCATGCCCTACTTACAAATTGGCGTCGCACCACACAACCAGCCGACGGTGGCACACCGCTAGTCGCCAACCAGACCCACCACCGAACGTACTACGTCGACTTCCTCACGTGAACCAAGGCACACCTCCACCGCAACCCCGAGGCCCAGCCCGCCTCGAAAATCGACCAAACCACCTCCACCATCCCCCACTTCACACATTCATGTTCCCCTATCCACCCACCGCAACTAAGCAAACAAGTCGTGCAACAGACATTATACGTGCAGTATATACAAAAGGAAAAGAAAAAACAGTTGCCGAACATAGATGCAGCGGCTCCGACCTGCCAGCGGATCGCGACGGTCCCGCCAACGTCTACTCCTTGCTGGTGACCGGCTTCTCGGTCTTCTTGGGTAGAAGCACCGCCTGAATGTTGGGCAGAACACCGCCCTGGGCGATGGTCACACCACCTAGCAATTTGTTCAACTCCTCGTCGTTACGAATAGCCAGCTGCAAGTGGCGTGGGATAATGCGCGTCTTTTTGTTATCCCGCGCCGCATTGCCGGCCAACTCGAGCACCTCGGCAGCCAGGTATTCGAGAACAGCAGCCAAGTAGACCGGCGCACCAGCACCCACACGCTCCGCGTAGTTGCCACGACGCAAAAGGCGATGCACGCGACCCACAGGGAATTGCAGACCCGCACGTGCTGACCTCGTCTTAGCCTTGGCTCGCGATTTGCCTCCCTTGCCCCTTCCGCTCATTGTGCAGTTGCAGTAGATCTCAGGCTAGCCTACTGCTCCGCTATATAAAGCCACCATCCGTCGAATGAATACACGTTTCTTACTGGTTCATTAATAGTCTGATCACTTTACGTTTCTAATTGGCTCGTCAGCGCTAAGCCGCCGTGCTATTGGTCAGACGCCCTCATCGGTCTTATTTTCAAGACTAAAACGCTCAGCACTGCCGAACGCACCGTCGCCTTCTACCACCAAATTCGCACTCTCGTTCGCCCAAAATGGGGCGCTCTTTAGCTAAGCTACTTTTATAGATGCTTCAGCGTATCTACATGCCTACTCTTTAGAATATCCGAGGAAGCTGCGGCAGCACAGCCCATTTCTACTTCAACATCATTACGCCCGACTTGATGCACACCCATTTTGGCCTCAATGAGAAAGTGGATTTGAGGTTCGACAGGGGAGAACGGGCATTGCGGCATTTGTGCCCACCCCGACAACAGCCCCCTGGCGCGTATCGTGCTGACAAGAGGGCACTCAGCTAGACTTCTCAAGCCGAGAGCATCAAGTACGAACGTTCTTCATTGAGAGTGTTTGGCACGCACGCATGCGGGCACCACGGTGACCC